AGACAAATGACCACAAGCACCCCGCCTGGGAGACAAATGAAAAGAACTGGGAGACAAATGAAAGCAAGTTGCAGACAAGCCAGCCGGGAAACCCGACCGCAAGCACCCAGCCTGGGAAACAAATGAGAGGAATTGGAAGACAAATGAGAAAAAGTGGGGGACACATGAAAGGAAGTGGGAGACAAGCCAGCCAGGAACCCGACCACAAGCAACCAGCCTGGGAGACAAATGAAAAGAACTGGGAGACAAATGAAAGGAAGTGGGAGACAAGCCAGCCGGGAACCCGACCACAAGCACCCAGCCTGGGAGACAAATGAAAAGAATTGGGAGACAAATGAAAGGAAATGGGAGACAAGCCAGCCTGGGAACCCAACCACAAGCACACACCCTGGGAGACAAATGAAAAGAACTGGGAGACAAATGAAAGGAAGTGGGAGACAAGCCAGCCAGGAACCCGACCACAAGCACCCAGCCTGCGAGACAAAAGAAAAGCACTGGGAGACAAATGAAAAGAAGTGGGAGACAAATGAAAGCAAGTGGGAGACAAGCCAGCCGGGAACCCGACCACAAGCAACAGCCTGGGAGACAAATGAAAAGAAATGGGAGACAAATGAAAAGAACTGGGAGACACATGAAAGCAAGTTGGAGACAAGCCAGCCGGGAACCCGACCAGACCATCCAGCACCAAGGCGACCATTCTTTAAAGCATTGAGAACCCCTAACAGTAAACTGTTTGGGGGAAAAATAGAATTTTGGTGCACAGGTTGGGATGGAGAAACTTTAGTGAGAGGCAGCAAGACCCACGTGAACTCCTGGATGCCGGATTTGCTGAGAGTGTTGCCTAAGAGAGTGGAGCCGTGCACTTGCAATGAAACGCATAAACTGACAAGACTTGAACATGATGCCAAAATAATCGATGCGCGTCACTCTTTGAGGCAAATTCTCCAAACAGCTTCGAGGCATCAGCCTTGATGCAACCACGTGTGAGCTCACTCATGCCAGAGGCAATCTCATTCGATACACTTTCAACCTCAGAAGCATCCAAATGGTGCTCAGTGGTCCGACCCGTGCGCCCCATGGCCTGAGACCTATTCCAGAACAAATGTGCTGCGGAGAAGCGAGTAAAACAATCATTCAGCATTCAAGTAAAATGTTGCAAATCTGAAATGTTGCAAATCTGAAACGAGCAATGTTCCCAAATCTGATGAAGTTCAAAGACTGGGAGAACTTGCACGGGGTCCTTGTAAAAGTATGTTGCGCCGCTTCATTGGTCCTGGCGCACGCAAAACAGCATGACACGCGCAGACAAAGTAGCGTGCTTATCCGTGGCCTCCCCAAAGGTTCGGAGCACTGAACTTGAGCGCAAGCGACCTGCAAAACATGACATTAATTTTCTTGTGAACACTTGCAATCTATGCCAGAGCATGCCTTCCATAGATCTATATGTAGGGCAAGCAAACTCCTCGAAGACCATGAAGACCTGCGCAAACTCTGCTTGAACACAGGGGGTTGTAGAACAATCACACGCTACAGCTTCAATCTGCCAAGCCTCCACCGTGCATCAGCTAGCTGAAGACCGGGTCGGAGAGATTGAAGGCCTGGGGAGATTGAGGCGTGGATGAAATTGTAAATAAGGAAAGCAACAAAATCAGCTAAGCTCACCTCGAGGTGGGATAGATACCAAAAGAGATCTTGAAGTCGGAAGAAGTCACCGCCTCCCGAAACAAAACTTCTCGCTGCAAACGTCTGCAATGTAAGCTTGTGCAACAAACACGACAGGTGCAAGTGTGCAAATTGCAGTGCTGCGCTCTCATCAAAAGAATCCATAGGTCAGTATTCATTTCACCCTCAGCTGAAGCGGAAGAGACTTCGGTCACTGTAACTCTAGTCTCCTGATCCTAGCTTATCTAGCTTCTCATAAGCCAGCATCTTAAATACTTTGGCTTTTTGGGACAGGTTCATCAGAAGACGATCTGCTTGTCGACATTGGTCCTCCTGAGCGTGAGCCAAGATTCCTGGCAATGCAAAAGGTTTGGAGAGAGACTAGTTCTTTCTCAGCCAAAAATCCATCTGAAAAGCTGTGAGCAGCATGATCTTGGCTTTCTTCCGCTTTGGCTCATCAAACTCTTCATCCACCACCTCAGGGCCGGATCGACGCCAAAAAGAAGAACCGCCTAACGAACGCACAAAAACTCTTAAGCGCTTAAGCACGAACATGACACTTGCAACTGAAGTCCTGGCGTTCTCTGGGGAATGGACCTGGGGCCAAAATACAAAAAGAAACATCGAGGGTGAAGAACAACAAGCCATGTTTGCAATTTGTCACTTCAAGCCAAACCTGAAGATGACCGCGAAAAGAAAAGGGGCTTATGAGACCGCGACATTTGCGGCCCCATCATCCTCGCACTCCTTTGCCTCACACTGGGCTGGCTGCAGACACAAGTGCGTGAGCAATGTTTTTCACGCGGCCAGCCTTTTTGTCATCACTTGCAACCTCTGAAGTTGGACTCCGCTCAACTGGAGCAGGTTCATGCCATCGCCAGGCATCCCATGATGAGGAGTTGTCCTGCGCGTGTGAAATTGAATGTGAGCATGTGAGTCGGTCAAGTGCATTAGAGGTTCAGGCACGCGTAACCAAACTCACAGAGCACCTCCTTCTTCCACACACGAGGACGAGCGTCAGGGCGAGGTCCATATGGTCGTGGCAGACATGTTGCTGCAGTCGGATTCCATGCCTCAACATGACCCGTTTTCTCGAACACGTACACGTTTGAAAGATTAAATTCAACCAAGGTTGTGAAATCACAAGTCACAAGGCGCCTTCACCTCCCAGTTGTTTGGCTGCGACATTAGATCTAGGGCCCACCAGTGTCACTTTGAGCCGTGACTTGCAAACAGATATAGGTCGATGCAGACAGTGCTTGCGCGTTCAAAACTCAAAAAGTTGTCTTCGCACCCACGCCTCAAAGTCCAGCAGGC